CACGGGCGCAGCCTGTGCCACCAACCAGCTGTGACGTTTGCAACCTGCCCTGGGAGATGAGAACGTTGCACGGCTGCTTGTTGTGATTAATTATCATTTCATAACGCAGGAGATTTCAGGCATGAAAGAGGCTCTTCACAGACACGTTGTGCACACTTTATCCATCATACGCGACTCCAGATGTTTCCATTTTATTCTTATTAAATCACCGCCTGGAGAGCCCGGGTAACATGAGGCCTCCTGCCCCGGTGCCGGGCAGTGCCGCGGGCGACGGCAAAGCACCAGAGACCCATTTTCCTCGAGGGACGGAGGCGCGTGCCTGGGGGTCTCAGGCCAGGCTTCCCCCCCGTTGCCCCCGCAGCCCTTGGGCAGGTGAAGTGACCCACCCGGACCAAGGCAGAACGTGCGGGAGCTCAGCCCCTGTCTGGCGACGCTGGGCTGCAGACGGCCACCTTGGCACGGAGCACGGGGACTCAATTTCGCATCCGGCGCGCAGCGAAACCGCGGCCGGAGCCAAGGCAGACAGATCAGCTCGTCCTCCCTCTCCCTTCCCTCTGGCTCCGGTTGCCCCCCAGTCCCGCGTCTCTCCGGGGGCTGAGCTCTCGCAGAAGGGCAGGGGGGCATTTGCAAACGCTCCGCAGCAGCCAGCAGCGAGGGGCTGAGCCACCCCTGGGTGCTGCTGCCGTGGCGTGGGCTCCTTGGAGCAACAAGCGGCATCCCATGAAACCGGGGGTGAATAAAGCCCAGGTGGGAGAAGAGGGAGCTGGGAAGGGAGGGAGTTAGAGATGGAGGCACAGGGGTCATTCCAGGTAAGGAAAACAAATAAATAGCTGATTCAGGGGTTTGTTCTCCTCTTTTATTTAGCAGAAACTGTATTTTTACAGCTGCAATCCCTTAAAATCGGATTCTTTTTCCCTTAAACAAATCCTTGTAAAATAATGCTTCATAAAAATAAGCGTTCCTCTTCTCGACCCCGAAGACAGAAAAACAATAATTCCAGCGAGGCCCTCCCCGTGCTGCAGAGGGGGCCGATGGTGGCTGTCCCGCGTGTCCCTGGCTGTGCCCAGCCGG